ATCTAAAAGCTTCGCATAAGAGTCTGAGTCTGCAGCGCAACGTGTCAGCCTAGAAGCTTCGGTGCTCGGCCGGCCATAAGCTTAGTCTCGAAAGCTGATCGGACGGTTCCCTCGCACGCGGTGCACGTGGGTCTTATCGGACGGTCACGCGGTGAAACAGTAACCCAGACACGTGTCGTGTAGTGATTCGATATATCAAATAAGTCGATAGCGTATAATAACGGACGATGCGCGGCCGCGAGTTTGGCGCGCAGCCAGAAGTCGGTGCGCAGTCGTGCCGTTACAAGAAGTACCCTTCGTAATCTGACGTTGACAAACCACTGAACCTGTCACAGGTGACGGCCTGCAAGCACAGCTTCTGCCGCGCCTGCCTGAGCGAGTTCGTGGCGGGCGCCGGTGGGGATGCGGAGACCGCTCGGGAGGCGGGCTGCCCGACCTGCCAGCGACCCCTCACCGTCGACCTCACAGGTGAAGCTCTCCCCACCCCTAGTTCCAGAGCATCGAAGTTTTCGATCCGAGCGAGCCGGCTTGTTGCGAGCAATTGCTTTCTCAGTCGGGCACTGTTGTTCGGTCATGTTGCACTCCCTTTTCGGGTTTGAATAGATCTGCTTAGTAGAAGAGTCGCCGGGCGGCAGATCTCAAAATAGGTGGAGCGCTCTTTGAAGGCTTAGTGGAGGTTGAACGTTAGCAACCTTTCTTCTAGAGACACCTCTTCTTCTGACGTTTCGGTCTGAGGTGCTTCCGTACCTTGTTGAAAGCTTCATGAGCACCGCAAAGGGCGTCATTATTCAGCGCTGTCTGCTTTCTGCGCTAACACGATCGGCGCAAGCGGCAGCGGTAGCGACTGCTGCGAGCATCAGCAAGAAGCGCACGAGCATCCTGAACCGGATCAACCTGGGGGGGTTCCAGACGAGCACCAAGATCGAGGCGCTCGTGAGTGCAGAGCTCCGCACTCGCGCTCTGTCGATTCTTTCTTGAACTCGTTTCGCCATGCCCTTTACAACGCGGTTTCAAGTTGACATTGTTGGTGATGAAGATCTTAGAATCTCGGATAGGATGCCAATAAAGTCCTACAACCCTCGCATAGAAAGTCTGTGCGACTGGTCATCCGAAGGCAGGACTTTGAATGCGGTCGTACTTATTTCTCTCTAAAATGTCTCGACACGACCCTCGCATAGAAAGTCTGTGCGACTGGTCATCCGAAGGCAGGACTCTGAATGCGGTCGTACTTATTTCTCGCTAAAATGTCTCGACACGTTATTCAGCGACTAAACTGACTCTCAAATGACTCTCGCTCAAAAAACCTCTTCTATCTCCGCAGCGCGAGGAGATTGCGCTGATGACGGAGGACGATCCGTCGGCGAAGGGCCTGGTGTTGAGCCAGTTCACGAGCATGCTGGACCTGTGCCACTTCCGGCTGGAGAAGGCGGGCATCAAGTGCACGTCAAGCTGGACGGCTCCATGACCATGGAGCACCGCGACCGCATGATTCAGGACTTCACCAACGACCCCGACGTCAAGGTGGGTTGCAGTTTTTGAGAATTTGTGACATTTTTGCAGAAGACATATGACCTTTAAGTGTTTGAGGGGTGAGAATCTGCTCAGGCAATCGTGAGACTTTGGAGTCCTACAGTACAAAGCGCGATCGCATGATCCAGGACTTCACCAAGGACCCCGACGTCAAGGTGGGCTGCTCTGTCAAAGTCCTTTGAAACCTTTGTGAGACCTTTTGCAAGAGGCGGATGACGCTGTAGAGGTTTGGAATTAGAATCTGAGCTCAGGCAACCGTAAGATTCTAGAGGGAAAAAACGCAACCGCATGATCCAGGACTTTACCAACGACCCGGACGTAAAGGTGAATCTGCGCTGTAGGTGTGTTTTTGAAGATATGGTAAATCTTTGCACGAGGCATACGACGGAGTTTTGTGGATCATTGGGAATCAGAGTCTGAACTCAGCAACTGTGAGAGTCTGGAATTGCAAAGACAAAGCGTTTCTGCATGATTCAAGACTTCACCAACGTCGTGTCGTCAATGTGGGTTGCCACCCTTTCAAGTCTAGTTGCAAGTTCTCGAATCACGGAATTTGGAACCAGGGGTACGCCGAAAAGCTGCAAGTCTGCAAGTGGAAAGCCGGTTATGAAAAATGATCAAGGCAAAGCGGTTTTGAAAAACATTCGTTCACGAATTCCCCATTTTCGTTTAAAAGTCCTTTTTGGTGCCTGAGGAGCCTCCCTTTTTTCGATGATCCCGCCTCTTCGCTGTTTCGTGTACATTCTACCTCCCACGCTTGCTCGCCGTTTCGGCTTCTCACTCAAGCGCAACTCATACGAAAGATGTGCCGAACTGAGCATGTCTTTTTCGCCGGCTATCTCAAATTGCATCATCTTCCATGCACAATTTCGCTGTGCTTGTTCTAAGTCCCCCTACCTGACTTCGCAGGTGTTTCTGATGAGCCTCAAGGCCGGCGGCGTTGCCCTCAATCTGACTGTCGCCTCCAGTGTCTTCCTTATGGACCCTTGGTCAGTCCCGCTCGCGCACACTGCCCCCACGATCCCAGTCCGTCCCCTGAATCGAGAGCGACTGTCTCGCCAGTTGCAGAAGCAGGAAATCTGCCAATCAACAAGTGCTCTTTTGAGCGAGTTTCAACTAGGGTTGTCCGCCTGCAGTCACCTCTTATCTTTGATGACTTTGAGAATTAGTTTCACAGCGTTTCTTGAGCCAACAAATCTGAGTTGCTTGGACCGTCAAGCTTGGTTGTCAACTTCAGCTGATTCTTTGAGGAAACAACACGTCTTGCGGGGGAAGGCTCACTTCGGTTTGGAGTCGTCCTCGGCGCTTGCCACCGACTGCCTTCTCCAACGTCAGATGACAGTCAATTCAAGTCTCGTCTAAATCATGGGAACCGCACACTTTCAAAACGAGCGAGGCAGAAAGCATGCGGTTCACATCCACTGCTTTGTTCCCATTGCTTCAAAGGGTCCTTCCGCTTTCCGTGACTGCCATGTGACATATCCTGAGCGGCTGACATACGTCTATTTTGTGTCCAGGTGGAACCCCGCAGTCGAGCAGCAGGCGCAGGATCGCATCCACCGGCTCGGGCAGTACAAACCCATCCAGTAAGCACACCCGGAGGTCACACTTTCGAGGTCTCTGCAGCTTCGCGCAAACTTGGCTGCCTGACCCAAGTTCATCTATAGCCGATTGCGAGGAAACGATCGTGAAGACGGTTGCTCATTGTGACCACACGTTGACTGGTTACACCTCTTTTGCTTTTGGAATCAAGATCTACTCACACTGGATTTGGCAGTCAGGGTTTCAGATCTTTCCTTCCGACATAGGGCGTGTGCTTTTTCCAGCCTCGAGCAGCCTGCTGACTGTTGGCGCTTGACCGATAGTTGCCAGATTTTGAGCGTTGTTTGTCCCTGCTTTTTGTCTCTAGGGTCACCCGGTTCGTGATCGAGAACACGATTGAGGAACGCATCCTGAAGCTGCAAGAGAAGAAGCAGCTGGTGTTCGACGGATGAGCGCCCAAAAGCTTGAACCTTTCTTGGCTTGTGCCCCAAGAGATCGTTCAGCCCGCACTGGATGGGTTGCGGCAAAATGTTGGCAGCCATGCAGCGAAGCTTGCATTTTGCGCCGTTACCTTGCAATGGCAGGTGAATCAAAGAAACAACGCTGGGCGCTTCACGGGCAAGACTTCTACTTTGATTCCGCAATGGACCTCGCCGTTAATTGTTCTCCAGCAAGGCTTCATATTCCCATTTCGGGGCTCTAAGCTCGTCTCGGAGGGGGTCCCAATTTTGATGGCCCTTGGAGTCCGTATTTGATGTCAAGATTAATGTTCTTTAGAAGACGCTTCGGAAATTGGTGGATGGAAGACTGAAGCGTGTGGGCTGCTCAGTTGTTTCAGAAACGTTGCGTTCGGTGAGTATTTTACGTTTTTTGGTGCGTAGTGCCGAACATTTGCTGCTAGTCACAACTAACCCTCACAAATCGTTGCTTTTCAGAACCGTTGGGGGGTCCGCTGAGGCTCTCGGGCGCTTGACTGCAGAGGACTTCGCGTTCCTTTTCTCCAGCTGATTGGTTGTTGATAGCGCGCTGTGTTGGTACAATATGGTATAATATGTGGCGCGCAACGCAGTGTGGCTGATAGGCGTGTAGCACCCGAATCTGCAAATAACATGGTCGAAAATGAAGGCTGTACAGTAGAAACATAGAGCATTGCAACTGGAAACTTGTAAGAAATGAGGTGGTACTTAAGCTGAACTTGGCTGACATCGAGGCGTATCAGACAGTACTCGGTTTGATGTGGCCAAGCACTCTGACATATGGATCTCATGGTGCGTGACTATTATATTTCAAGATCGTTGTGTGACTCATCTGGTCAAGATCTGCAAACTGGACAAAAAATGAAAGTGACCACTCATGCATGTTGTCCCCATCCTATAACTGAGCAGTATTGTATCAGGTAAGTTTGAGTACCCAGTGTGATGCGCTAGGTACGTACGTACACATATTTTAGTGGCAGCTACTGTAGGAGTTAAGTTGAGATCCTACAGTAGATTCAGTAATATAAAATCATGCACCTTCTTTGTTGCCGGTTATCATGCAAATTGAAAGGGGTGACCAAATTACACGTCCTTGAAGAAAGCGTCGATCGGATCATCGCGCGGAACATGTGCGACACGAGGAGGCTACGTACTATTTCTCATCAGGGGTCGCCACAGGTTTTCGAAAATGTCGGCTCAAAGCCGACTCCCTTGTAAATTCATCGGCTTCTCGCCTATATTTTGGGGTACTTGTCGGCTTCTCGCTTTGGCCCCTGCCTCCGGTGTCGGCTTCGAGCCGGGTACTTCTTAATTTTGTCGGCTTTTCGGAAAGTTCAATGTCCCGGGGATCACGGTTAGTCGGCTTGTGCCGACCCCTGTTTCTCATATAACAGAATTTTGTGGGTATTTAAAGTTAAATTGCATGGACGGTATTCCTTAGGCCACGCGAAGTCGATATGGAGTTTCCGGTCCACCCCCTTCGGGGGCGGGTCGGTCGGTCGGCAGAAAATAATAAATGTTGTTTTAAAATCGGCTGGCTTGCCACGTCAGCATCCCAACCATTACCGCTGTAAGTGACCGTTACCACGTGAAACCGTCATGCATGGCCTATGCAGCTAGTCCTCTGCAGTTCGCCAGGGCTAGTTGTACTCCCAATGCAACAGATCTATGGCTGCGCAATGCGGAGATGCGGTGAAGTCATCTTGCAGTTCTGTAGGCAGGGGGTAGGCAGGGGGTAGGCAGTTCCTTGAGGGCGTGATCGTAAATGGAAACCGCGAGCGAGAGGAGGTGTTTGCCCTGAAGTCATGGTGGTCTTCAGCGTTCAGGCAATCCAAAAGCCATCACAAGTCCTCTTTCCTCCAAGTGTTGTTAAGATAGAAGAGGAGCATTCACTAGGCCGTGTCCTTCAGGACTCCCTCAAACGTTTTTGCCCAGCACTTCATCTAGCCCTTTGAAGAGCAGGAAGCACACATCAGCAAGCAGCTGGCAGGGGCGCCCTGGAATGCAGTCGACTTAAGCTACACAGTGTCAGACGTTCTGTCTTTTGGCAACTGCCTGAGGTTCTTCTTGAAGAAATCTGCTGTTGCTGGAAGTTCTGCGCAAGGCGATGCTCTGGACGTGTTGATGCAAGGTTCCAGAGAAAGCTCTCTCCCCGCTTTGCCTACTCCGCACAGCGTTCCTTCCGATAGTAAAGAGCGTCTGCACAACGACGTGATAGCTTTCTTAGCAGATAGACAATATCTCTTCTCCTCGTCATCAGTTGACACCACCGGACGCGGGTTTGTCAACGTGCTTACCAGCGCTCTTTGGTACATTGATCACGCCCACGAGACCATCAACCATAGTTTGGACATTCGTCGTTTTGGTCAATAACATTCACGAATTTACGTATTTATCACATGCTTTAAGACGTTCGTCACAAATTCGTCAAAAATTCGGAAAATTGTCAGAAAGTGCAAAAGACAAGAAGACGGGACCAAAATTGGATGTCCCAATGCATTAAAGACTGGGTATCTGTATGGCAAGCTTGCAAACAAGCATTCTCGACAGATTCAAACTAGATTGTGGCTAATTCCTTATTAGAGTTGACCAAAGCCGTCGAAAGTAGCCGGACACATGGCGAATTTTTGCCGAATGTAGATTTCGCCATTCATAACATTCTTCAAATTCGTTCGAATCCAAGTCTCCATAACATTCCCGCTCTAAAAATTTCCAAACTATGCCATCAACGCGGCGGCTGGTAGAGCTCGAGTTTCCAGCGAGAGCGATGATGCTGTCCCAACGGGCGGCTCATCAGCGTCAACAGCAAGGTCTGTAAGGCCCATGCATGTTGGCATTCCCGCCTGCTTTGATAGGTTTCAGGGCTATAACGACTGGCGCGCAAAGAAGCAGGGAAAACCGCAGTTGAACGAGTCAGATCTGAGGCACCATGTCAACAAGCTGTATGCCTACAGCTGCCCGTCTGAAGCATTCGGAAGAACGGAGTGGAGTTACTTGAAGGAAGATCTCGAGAACTTGGCGGAGTGCTTGAACGCCTATGCCGACTATCTGCTGGCAAAGAGGGAAGCTGTGACGGGCTTGCAAGCTCGCACGCAACCAGTCAGAGTCTTTGAGTCACACGGGGGTGCGGCGTTTCTGCCCCCAGCGTTCGACCTGTAGGACAGCGAGCGCTGTGGCTCAGTATGCTGCTCTAGAAGCTGCCCTTCAGGATATGTATGCACCCGTGGACCTGCTGGCCTTCACAGAGGCTATGGATAAGCGCAACCGCTACCGCTTTCTGGACGAGATGAGGCTGCCCTTTGCGGTCTCGATGCTCAGGTACGTAGACGCCCCAATCCCTGCCCCAACCATCTGAATTGTCAGTGCTGATTAACAGGCCACCAAACAAATCAGCAAACGTCAGTATTTTAGATCAGAGAGACCATGGAAAAGGTCCCTCCTCTGCAACAGGTTGTAGACAGCGATCAAATTGGGACGACCAAGAGTAAAACTTAATACATCAAAGGAGGCTCTTGTACTTTGTGACAGAGGGAGTCTCTTGGTGTCTTCTGCAAATCTGCATGTTCAAAAACAGCTGATTGGGCCGACTCTTCATATGTTTTTGACCGGTTTTTGTAGAGGTGATGAATGTAAATCTGCACCTAGTTGGCAAGACTCTGATGATTGTTCCGTCACTGCAGCGATGATCCCGGTGGTGGCGCCGGCAAGTACACCTTTGTTTGGCGGGTCCCCAACCAGGAAATCCTTAGAGATGCCACTGCTCAAGCTCGCGTCGTCGGTGGACTGGCGCGCGATCTGCCAACATACCACACCCGTGCTATGCAGCGCGAGTTCAAGGGAGTCATGGACAGCCAAGCGATCACATCCAAGGTGTTGCGCTTCGTCTACGAGTATCTTACTCATGACGCTTCAGCTGCTATCCACGCTAGGGAAGCGGCTGTGAACGAAAGAGTGCATCAAATCCTGCTACTGAAAAGCCCGGGCCTGGCGCTGGATCTGAGGGAGCTGAATGGACCGAAGGACTCGCGCTTTGATGAGTTCTGGGATGAGGTTGCAGTGATGCTGGATGAAGGTAAGCTTTTACTGAACTCTTGCAAGCTTGTAGCAGGTGTACGGAACATATTCAAACTCTTCGCATCGTCGGAAGTCCTTGACCAGATGAGTCATTTGCACATAACTTCTTGCACAAGCCTGAGGACCGTTCAGCAAATTATGTTCATGTGTTTTACTTGGCCGGACGTTGGACAAGGGATTCAATATTCATCGATTCATATGTTGCAGGTTCTTGACAAATCGAACTAGCTTTGATGAGACTCTTCTGCCCTTTGCCAGCTTGCAAGAAATTCTGCAGATAATGTCTGGTTCATTTGTTTTCATGTGAAGTTGGATTAAATGGAGACTCCCTCAATCTGCAGGTCGGGGCCAAGCTGTGAATGACCGCAGGCACGGGATGGTCACGTATCTGGCGGAGTGGTTGTCAGCAAGGACCCTCCACGACGCGGCTGCGGCACGCCTCAAAGGCAAAACCCCGACAGCAGCTGTCCCAACCCTGCGGTGGTTCCTGTTCCAGTTCTGGCCCAAAAATCCATACTGCCAAGCTGCCCTAGCCTACACCGGCCGATTCATGGTAACAAGCACCGCCTATTTGCTTTCTTGCTTGTGTGCTACATGTCCAGAACAGGCACATCTTGACAGGGTTCCAGAATACGAAAGGAAAGTCTTAGAAAGGATTTCGCTGCTCGTGACGATGTTTGATGTCTGTGGTGCAAACAGCTTCAATTTCTCAAGCTTGGGCAATGAGCAGAAACGTTTGGAGTGCTGAGATGCAAGTGCCGTGTGCACAACATTAGTAAGGCAAAGCAAATCGTACCATTTCTTTACTATTCCACATCGTTTGGTTACATGTTTCGAACGGATTTTGGATTTCCCCATGCTTTATGTATTTGTCAGGATCCGCTCTTTTGTGAATCGTATGAGCTAGTATCTGTCACCGCCCTTTGCTTTTAGCAATTCCAATACAGCTACTTTTGTTACCAGGCTGCACCTTGCGAGCTCGAACATGTCTTCAGCCTAGAGCGATTATCAGGGGATAGAGGTCTTATTACATTCTCTGTCTTTGCAGATGCGGTACGCCGTCCAGAGCCGCCTCTTGAGCAAGGACCACGAGGATGGGCAGTACGGGGCGATGCTCAAGCAGTACTTCTGCGGTTGGGCCGTGAAGTTTTGCGACGTTGCGGCGGTCGTGTGGCTGGATGACAAGCACGCCGTGAAGGTCGGAGAGCCAGGACTTCCTGTCGCTGCGCTCGACCGAGGACGAAGGGTACTCCAGGCGACTGATACGCCTGTGATCGCTCTAGATCACGACTTCACTCGTGGCAAGATCGTCCCCTCCGTGGCCTTGCTCCAGATTGGTGACTTGATTTCGACGGCGAAGGACAAGTCATTCTACCGGGGGCGGGTCCACGTGATGCTGAAGGATGCAGCGTTTGAGGCCTCCAGTCCCCTTTGCCACATGGCGGAACTCAAGAGGATTCTGGAAAACGCGGTTGTCACGAAAGAGGGCCCCCGGTTTAGTGCTCAGGTGCCCCTAGCCAGCGGGCCCCCGACTACCCATCCAGCCCCCCCGCTGAGCGAACATGCCCCCCCGACTGCAGACGAAGTACCTCCGGGTGACGGACGGGACCCCCAAACCCCCCCCGCGGTCTTCCCTGCCAGTGGTCAGCCTCCCCGGACAACTAACGATGTTTCTCCAGCCAGCACACCGCCCGATCTGACGACGGATGAAGTTCCCCCGGCCGAGGAGCATCCAGCCCCGACCGACAACGAAGTTCCCTCGTCTAGCGAGCAGGCCCCTCCAACCACAAGCGAAGTCCCTCTAACCAGCAGCCAGCCCCTTCCCCGTGTTCCCGCCATGCCACCGCTCAGCTCCAGACTGCCCCCTTGGACTGCTCCTGGCTCAGTTTCCCCGACCGGTGGACTGCCCCCGACCCCAACAGTCCCTCAGCCCAGCGGTCATCCCCCCCCGACCAGCAACGAAGGTTCCCTGGCAAATGAGCAGCCCCCTTCGGCCCCCTCAACCAGTCGGGAACCCCCCCAGGTTGCTGACGATGAGCACCCCCCTCTTGTCGACCAGGAGGTCCCTCCTGCCCTCGAAATCTTCTCAGACGGTGGTCCAGACCATCGGACCACCTACAAGTCTGTCCAAGTCAGCGCCATCTGCCTCTTTCAGGCTCTGAAACTCGACTATCTGCTAGCCGTCCGCACCGTTCCATGTAACTCCTACGTGAACAACGAGGAGCGGATCATGGCGGCCACTAACCTCGCTTTCCAAGGCGTAGGGGTGATGCGGAGCCCGATGCTAGTCCCCTTCGAAAAGCACTTCAAGAAGGCTACCAGCTTGGACAAACTCCGGAAAGCGGCTGCGCAGAAACCAGGGGCTAGAGAAGCTTGGCGCGAGTCCATGGCATCGCCGATTGCCCTTCTTGAGGGGCGGCTAGAGCGGCTGGAGTTGAAGGGGGAACCGTATACAGTGGTCCCATCGGCGACGGAGGAGGAGATCGATGCGCTTTGGAACGAGGTTTTGAAGGTCGACCCGAGCCTCCAAAGAGAAAAACTCCAGGCGGTCCACCTGAAAAACAAGGCGTCCTTCAACGCTTGGGTCAACAAGCACATGCGGGTTGCGGCACTACTTCCTGGAAATCAAGAAGTGCAATGATCGAACGTGCTGTCCCCCTCCTCGGATGCCAGCCGAGGACTGGGCGCGTCTGAAACCGTTCCCTGACCCGACCCCCGATCCCGAGCGGGAAGGCCACTTTCTCCGTTCGAGAAGGTCTATGGCCAGCAAACATCAGAGGAATTCCGCCCGTCCCTCAGGCGCGCCGTGGCAACGGCGGCCGTCGAAGATGAAGCGCTGCGCGCGGCAACCCCAGTTCCAAGAGGCGGGGCAGGCGGAAGGGGTGGACAAACGCAAGGCGGGGCTGGCGGAGCAGGCACTGCTGCTGGACAAGAAGGCGAGGGCGGAGAAGGACGGGGTGAAGGACGGGGCGGAAGAACGGGGCGTGGTCGCGGTGGGCGCGGTGGTCGGGGGCGCGGCGGTGGCGGGCGTGGGCGAGCACGGGGTTCCTCACAGGATCGGGCAGCCGTGGAGCGGCCTTTGGGGACCTCAGAGGCGCAGAGGCAGGAATGGCAAATGGCAGAGCAAGCCCATGCTCCCCGAGCGACTCCAGTCCCCCCTAAAACGGCGTCTCAGTTGGAGGGCGAACAGGAAGACAAAAAACATCCAGGGTTGTTCATCGGCCAGAATGCACGCGACCTTGTGTTCTGCGACGATTGCAGCAGGCCCCGCGTGATTTACGCCAAGTATGCTCTCACCGCTCAGCAGAAGTCATCCCTCGAGCTTCAGCTCGAAGACGTATTCTACACGTGCGGGAACCCCCTGTTTCCGGGCGGCACGTCGCCCGTGGTTCCGGAGCAATTCCCGGTGGTCGTACAGCCCACTCCCCTTCGTCCTCCCCCCTCGGTCGGCGATGCGAGCGCGGTCCCTGGAAACCGTCAACCGGCAGCTGCACATGGCCTTGATGATGGCGCGACACCGCCTCCGAAAGCTCGAACGGTGAATCCAAATCTCATCGTGCATCCGTTTCAGATGTCTGAAGCTTTAATTTGCTCGAGACTGTTGAACTATTGTCGTTGAACTATTGTCGGCGACAGATTGAGCAGGGGCTCAACTGGCCACGGCCTGTTTGTTTGATCGACGGTTGGATCGTATGAAACTGTACAATTTAGACTTTTTGCCGTTCATCTGATGCCAGAGTAAATGGCAGTCGACAATATAAAGTCTCCAACCGTCCTTGTTTGGTTCCAAGAGCCTCCAGTGGTGACCCCGCCTGTGTCGGAAAACGTGCCGGCACCTCCTCGAGCGCCGACCGCTTAGGCTGCACGCGGCTTCGCCCTCGAGCCTGAGCCAGAGCCGGCTGTACCCGGCGCCCCCGAGCAGCCAGCCAGCGCACCAGTAGGTTGCCATGGCCCCGAACTGATCTTGAAGGGCTGCAAGCATCTTTCGTCCCTGCTATGGGTACTGAATCATGGTTTTATTGTCAGGCCTGCATCTTTCGTCAATTTAGGTTGCGGCGTTCGCCGCCGTGCCAATTCTTGTTCATGCGGTCCAGCAAAACCGTTGGCTTCTCGGATCATGACGCTCTTACTGCATTCTTTCAAAAATCAAAGGGAGCTTCTATTGATGTAGAGTAATCTGCCAGGTCTCGTGCACTCTTTGCAGACGGCCATGGACGAGGAGATGGTGGATCGGGAACCAGCCTTCCCAGGGGAAACCACAGGAGCTCAGTCCCCTAGTGGAGAACTCCCTGCCAGTGCTGCATCTGCAGAACAGGTAAGCGGGTTCGAGCTGCTTGGCCGGAAAGCACTGAGATTCTTACAAAGGCAAAGTAGCGTTAAAAACTTCGCTTCGAAGTTTCACGAAGTCTCAGAAAGGCATTGCGTGTGTGCAGGCGTCAACGGTCGCTGTGGTTGGAAAGCTTACGAGGAACAGTTGCAGTGTTTTGCTTAGAGTCTTAAAGTTCAGGCGCGCAAACCGAGACTTGGTCGCGGCTGGTTGGAGGTGCCAACTTCAGTAGATCAATCCTCGCTCTAGATTCTGAGTATGGTTTCTGACATAGGCCGTACCGGCTGCTGCAACGACGACGCACGACAACAGAACTGCCCGGGTGGGCCTACCGCCCCTGGCACCAATCTTCCACGCAGCTCGAGCAGCTGCTGGGAGAGCTGAAGCTCGGGCTACTCCCCCTGCATCAGCAAGACCGGTCGGGCAGGTGAGTGCTGTGCAAAATTTCGGACATTCTTTATCTTAGGACCGTTCTGTCGAAGACTTTGTACAAGCGATTGTTGAAGAAGCTTCGTTCTCCTAGGGCATCCATTGTCAATTGTTGCTGATCCTTGCTGAAATCTGCTACTGTAGTTGTCAAAAGGTCGAAATTAACTCATTGGCTGTCGTTCAAATCTGCCCTCTCATGATGATCAGCTTATTCCTGGCAGGGCTCCCAGGGTGGCCCCCGGCCTGTGCCAACTCGGCTGCCTGCTCGGACTGTCTCGTTGAGCCAGGCTGCGAAAGACGAGCACAGCCGGAAGCCCGTGCACGAGGTGGCTTTTGTCCGCCAAGGGGTCACTTGCGCGGATGACGTGGAGAGGACATATTACGCGCAAGCAGTGCCCAACGCCTTCAACAGGTGTTGCAAGTATTGCGGTGACATGGAGGATCTTGTTGAGGACGATCCAAACTTATTGGCAAGGTTTGCAACCGTATTGCCGATCTGTGCTGAGTGTAAGGCCAAGGGAAGACCCGTATGCAAGTACGCGCCCAAGCTAGTAGTCACAGGGCTGAATACGTCGGCCGCGGGACCAAGCAGGCCGACCACTTAAAGCGTGTACGATTGAACTCGGGAGTTTGCCAATCGGTTTCAGTTGACAAATCTGTGATTTGCGACCATTCTAATCTGCAACATGCATATATGCCGATCGTGAGGCTAAACTTTAAAAGCATGTTGCAAACATTGATTTAGCGACAAGGATGACCAGGAATGTATAACATGTATTTGCAACTACGAATGCCGGGAGTGGCCGAGGGTTGAGCATACCGCATGACCGAGGCCCTCAAGTGCATTGAATCCGGACATCAATTGATCTCGTTAAATCGGACCGACCATGGCGGCGTCGTCAATATTTAAAACAAGCTTCGTGAATGTTTGCCCATACTACTTAGAATCGCGAGTTGATGCACTGAGCCGCGCTGCTACCTGTCGAACCTTGCTTGCGTCCGTTGTTCATGCTCTTCGATCATTGGATGAATGGTGGACAGCCCGGTATGGTACGTACTAGGAGCCCGACGATTTAATAGATGAGTCGATCATAGCTCCGCGGCCACAACACGCCGGCGTACATGCATATGCAACATGTGCGATTCTCAATTATGAATATAAATTAGCGATCTTCAACAAACGTGCACATACCAAGGTAGTACCTTGGCGGCAGCAGTATACATATATGCAAGTATTAAACACGATGCGCTACATGTTAGGATGTATATGCGCAATCCAGCTTTTGAATAGTTTGCTGGACACACACACGCAGTATTGGTGCGTAGCTAAAAGTTTAATAATTTATGCAGCACGTTGAGGCTCCATCATTGAATGATTGCATGCATTAAAGAGCTAGTGCCTCTCGGATAAAGCCTATGGCCAATTCAATATTTGTTGCCGTTGAGGCGTGAAATCATCCTGATGAATTTCTTGGGTGGTTTTATCAAATTTCGGGGTTTTGATCATCCTTTTGGCACGGAATTCGGGGTCGAGAATCCGCGGTAATTTTTGACAATTTCGGATTTTTGGAGCGCGGTAGACTGCACACCGGTCAATTCGTCAAAATCCGGGATCTGTGAATGATCTACAGGTGAAAACTTGGGGGGCACATCGAAGTTCCGGGCATGCTTGCAACCTCCGGCCCAGCGATACCGCTTTTCAATACCAAGCGCTTTTATAGCAATATTTGGGGCAATTTCTGGGCTCCCAGACGAAATCGTCGATTTTTGTATGAAATGGGGCATGTTTTTCGGGGTATTGACTTCCGGCTACAAATGGTCCCATGTGAAATGATTTGACGCCCGGGATGTGAAGTCTACACTCACCGGGTCAAATTCGGGGAAGATGGTCAAATTCTGGCAGACAATTCGGATGAGATGGTGATCGGTGCACCATTCAGGGCACCGGGTCGCTACAGTCCGCCAGGGAATTTCCAGAACTTTGAACAAGGGAGAACTCGATTTCGGGGTTCCGGGCCTTCTTGGAGGTGAAAATCCGGGGTCCTGGAAGTGGAGCTTGAAGTTCGAAAATTTATGTGGATCTTAGCCAGGCCGGCCGGCGACATCGGTACACGACCGGAGGGGCCACCGGTCGCAGTTCCAGTGACTGTCACACTCAAGTTTCCACGCAATTTCGGGGGGTGGGGACTCGGGTCGGAGGTGCCGGTTGAAATACTGAGATCCCAAGCCGCTCGGCCCGTTCGGCCGTACGTTTGCCCGAGTACGGTGCTGGCGCGGCCGCAGCCGGGTCCCCCGTTCTGGGCGCGGCCGCCCGGGCCTCAGTGCTGCCAGCCAGGCTTCATGCATTGAATGGCACTGAGGCCGGCCGGCTTGACTCATGCCTATTGTAGTTGATATTGGCCGAGTAGTAGAGTAGGTCCAATTATACTCTCGGGCCTTCCGCGCATGAGAGGTAGGCGACGCACATGTTATGTGATTTTCGCAAACGGACGTGCATCGGTCTCGGGTCATTCAATGCATACTACATCAGTCATGCAATGATAAGATGTAATGTACTGTGGGTATGCATCCAGCTGCCTCAGCATGGCCTAGGTGTGACGGTTGGACAGGGTCACACGCTGCCTGTCTACTTCA